TCTCCCCATCAAACGACTGAGGCTGCCGTCTGGCAAAAGCATCTCCTGTCCTTCGGTAGAAATAGTCAGAGTTGAGACAGAGTTAATCAGTGACACATGAAATGAAAGGGTGTTGCTTTTACTGGACATGTGTGCTGTACTGTACTATTAGAAACCCCCTCATTGTGGATGTGTTGAGTGAGTGCCAGCTCTCTCTGCATCTCATACATCTGTGAACACATACACACAGTCACTGTTCTATCACCAGTTAGAGATAGGTGATATCTGACACACAAACATACACTACTGGTCAAAAGTTTTAGAACACCTACTCATTCAAGGGTTTTTCTTAATTTTTACTATTTTCTACATCGTAGAATAATAGTGAAGACATTAAAACTATGGAATAACACATATGGAATCATGTAGGAAAAAAAACTTGAATGACTAGGTGTTCTAAAACTTTTGACCGGTAGTGTATACTATGTTGAAGTTTGAACAGGTCAGACTAAACCTACCTAATTCTGTTTTCCCCATCGACGACCATTGGTGAGCAGGCAAGAGGTGAGGTCTTTGCCAGAGCCCTATTGATGGGCATAGCAGTGTAGATCAGCTTCTAGCCCCTCATCAAAGATACTGGTCGGTCACACAAACACACACACAGACAGAGCACTGATTTATATTATCAATTGTGGTTATGAATAGCCTGGGGGAACCAACCTGATCGCTGCATTCACCTTTCTATTTCATTCAGTTATCGTAACATTTGAAGTGAAATAGAATGGTGAACACAGCGATCAGTCTGGTTCCACCAGGCTAGGTTATGCCCTGGACATTATATTAAGTATTTTCTAAGAAGTAGAAAATAAGTAACAAATAATGTCAGTTTACATAAATTATGTTTCACAGTTGGGTTATCAAATGTATCAAAGTCATTAAGTGGATTACACTCTGTATTTGTAAGAATTATGAACCTGTGAAAGCTGTTGCCGCTGACAGGTGAAGGTTGTATGGTTGGATACTTGCCAACATGTGGATGAATGTTCCATTCATAGGAATGCTCACAGCAAGGGCATGTCTGCATGATGCTGATGAGGGCCCCCTTGCTGGTCTTCTCTATGTTGCATGTTTGGCTGCAAAATTGACATCTCTCGAACAACTGCAGCAGGCAATCTTATGAGGTGGTGTGAAAGGGTGATATAATAGACAGCCAAGTGGTGAATTGCATTTTGTTCTAAAGAAAGGACATAGCCTTTTGCTAATGCACTTCACAACCAAAATGGCTATTAGTTGTACAGTGCCTTCAGAAATGATTCACACCCCTTGACTTTTTCCACATTCTGTTGTGTTACAACCTTAATTTAAAATAGATTAAGTTGAACGTTTTTGTCACTGACCTACACACAATACCCCATAATGTCAAAGTGGAATTATGTTTTTATAAATTTTTAATAATTAATTAAAAATAAAAAGCTGAAATGTCTTGAGTGTTCACCATGTATTCAACTCCTTTGTTATGGCAAGCCTAAATAAGTTCAGGAGTAACAATTTGCTTAACATGTCACGTGATAAGTTGCATAGACTCACTCTGTGTGCAATAATAGTGTTTAAAATGATTTTTGAATGACTACCTCATCTCTGTAACCCCACACATACAATTGTCTTTAAGGTCCCTCAGTTGAGCAGTGAATTTCAAAAGCTGATTCAACCAGAAAGACCAGGGAGGTTTTCCAATGCCTCACAAAGAAGGGCACCTATTAGTAGATGGGTCAAAATAAAAGCAGACATTAAATATCCCTTTGAGCTTGGTGAAGTTATGAATTGCACTTTGGATGGTGCATCAATACACCCAGTCACTACAAAAGATACAAGCGTCCTTCCTAACACAGTTGCCAAAGAGGAAGGAAGCTGCTCAGGGATTTCACCATGAGGTCAATGGTGATTTTAAAACAGTTCGAATTGAATGGCTGTGATAGGAGAAAACTGAGGATGGATCAACAACATTGTAGTTACTCCACAATACTAACCTAATTGACAGAGTGAAAATAAGGAAGCCTGTACAGAATAAAAAATATTCTAAAACATGCATCCTGCTTGCAAAAAGGCACTAAAGTAATACTGCAAAAAATGTGGCAAAGCAATTAACTTTTTGTCCTAAATACAAAGTGTTATGTTTGGGGCAAATCCAATACAACACATTACTGAGTACCCCTCTCCATCTTTTCAAGGATAGTGGTGGCTGCATCATGTTATGGGTATGCTTGTAATCGTTAAGGACTGGGGAGTTTTTCAGGATAAAAAAGAAACAAAAAACCTGGTTCAGTCTGCTTTCTATCAGACACTTGGAGATGAATTCACCTTTCAGCAGGACAATAACCTAAAACACAAGGCCAGATCTACACTGGAGTTTCTTACCAAGAAGACAGTGAATGTTCCTGAGTAGCCGAATTACAGTTTTGACTTAAATCTTCATGAGAATCTATGGCAAGACTTGAAAATGGTTGTCTAGCAATGATCAACAACCAATTTGACAGAGCTTGAAGAATTTTGAAAATAATAATTGGCAAATATTGTGCAATCCAGGTGTGGAAAACATCGGATTTTGGACCAAACTTCTTCCTACATATGACTAAGACATAAGGAATTGTCTTAGTCATTGTAAAAAATTATAAAAAAATCACCCACACACCCCCAATTCCCCATGCCAATCGCACCCCAACAACCAGTATACAGTTTCAGTTCTCTATGTTTGACAAATACTATGAAGCTGTGGCTTGGAGTATTGCCTCGCCATACTAAGTAATGTATTCCCTGTGAACCTGGTGATGTTTTTTTCCCCCTCTTCAGAGAAATTAGTAATTGAAGTTGCTTGCATCATTTACCATAAAGTAGTGTGAGAGTACCAGGCTTTGACCACTAGATGCTTCTGTTCTTGCTATTCCGCAACACTATTTTATCCATTTTGCTGGTCTCTTGTGTTTATTAAATAGATCACAACATTTCCTTTGCAACTTTGGGTTCTAAACCAATAGATTTGACTCATAAATAAATTGTGGCCATCCTCAATTCAAGCCAGTCCTCCATGAAAGCAATTTATTTTGTCCTTCTCTTAGGAACCTAATGCTTCAACTCAACTTTCCTTGAATAGTCCAACAAGTGGCCGCTCTCTGAGAGGGCTATCCCTATGTAATTCTCATATGAAGACTTTTCCTACAAGCCCAAAACATTGATGGAGAAATGGGCTAGGGACTAAACTGTTGTATCAACCCTAATAAAATAATTAATTCCATGGCATTTTATGTCTTTTATCTTTCGAGTGGCACAGTGGTCTAAGGCACTGCATTGCAGTGCTAGCTGTGCCACTAGAGATCCTGGTTCGAATGCAGGCTTTGTCGTAGCCGGCCGCGACCGGGAGACCCATGGGGCGGCGCACAATTGGCCCAGTGTAGGGGAGGAATGGCAGGCAGGGATGTAGCTCAGTTGGTAGAGCATGGCATTTGCAATGCCAGGGTTGTGGGTTTGATTCCCACGGGGGGCCAGTATGAAAAATATAAAAATAATGTATGCACTCACTAACTGTAAGTCGCTCTGGATAAGAGTGTCTGCTAAATAACTAAAATGTAATAAAATTATCAGGAAACAGCTCTATATGTATTGTGATTAGAGACATTTACCATTAAATCCAATGTGTTTGGGATTTTTACCATTGAAGACCACCAGAGTCCATAACATTGAAACCATTAGAACTGCTTTAGCCTTCTAGTTTGCTTGTTCACCAGGAATGGTCTACAGTAACTAGTCCAGACTTTTTTGAAGGGAATAAAGGGGCCGTTTCCTGGTCAGAGATTAAGCATAAAAGGACAAACTGATTTGCTTTCATGGAGGACTGGCTTGAATTGTGAGGATGACCACACAATTTATTTTCATAATCAGCCAAATATATTGGTTTTCTACCCAAAGTTGCAAAGGAAATGTTGTGATCTATTTAATAAACACAATAGACCAGCACAATGGATAAAGGAGTGTGGCAGTATAGCAGGAACAGCAGCATCTAGTGGTCAGAACCAGCTACTTTCACACTACTTTATGGTAAATAATGTGACTTCAATTACACATTTCTCTGAACGGGGGAAAAAAACATCACCAGATTCACAGGGAATACATTACATAGTATGGAGAAGCAATACTCCAAGCCACAGCTTCATACTGTACTACTTGTCAAACAGAGAACTGATACTGTATACTGGTTGTTGGGGTGGGATTGGCATGGGGAGTGGGGTTTCCGTGGGTGGCTTTTGACAATTGTGTCTTACTCATTAGTAGGAAAAAAGTTAGGTCTGGATGTTGGGTACTGTATTTTCTGAATATTATCTGAATCCTGTAGATTAAAATGGCCTATTTGAGTGCAATTAGTTAGCTTAATTTCTCTGAAATTAATTGTAATTTCAACAAAATAATGTTTCAGGAATGCCAATCTTATCTGTTTCTAACTGCAGAAACAATTCAGAACAATCGAGATGGTGGGTGTCATGGCTTTCTGAAATGACATGGAACGACTCTTTGGGGAGTGCACTGTATATCATGATATAGTTAGCTATTCCTTTCTTCATCTCTACAGATCCCCAGCAGCCCTCTCTCCCTGTCCCTGAAGAGGTGGTTCCCCCTAAGCAGCAGCACTGTGAGCAGGAGTGGAGCCCCAGTCTGGGCCAAGAGAACCCAGAGCCCACACAGACTAAAGAGGAGCAGGAGGAGCTCAGGACCAGTAAGGAGGATGAGCAGCTTCTGGGTCTGGAGTCTGATATCAAAGAGTTTATATTCATTCTTCCATGTGTGAAAAGTGAATGTGTTCAGGACCCACCTCAGCACCCACCTCTTTTCCAAACTCAAAATAGGGAGAACAGAGAGAGGGACTCTCTACACACCAACATACTGTAGATTCACTTGACATCAAAATAGAACCTGATGTAGAGGACTACGGATTATACATACCAAACAGTGAATTACAGCCCCTCTCTCCAGTAAATTCAGACATTTCTGCCGCTCTGAGTGAAAACAATGAATGTGTCGATGATGTGGAGAGTGGAGGGATACTGTCAGGGTCAGAGCCGCTATTGACAAGGAGAGCACGAAGAAGGAAAAGCAAAAGTCAAGACATGACAACCACAAATTTGCTCCCCCTGAAATCACCCAGTCAAAGCCATGCTCCTTATTGTTGCAAGGCGTGTGGGAAGTATTTTAATGTTAAAACTAATTTGATTCAACATGAAAAAACACACATCAATGTGAGTAGTACATCAACTCTGAGAAAGCATTCTGACAAAAGGTATCTAAAATCCCACCAACAAATCCAAACCTGGGAGAAACCATGTAGCTGCCATGTGTGCAGTAAATGTTTCCTTATAGAAGAACACCTTCAAAGACATATTCAAATACATACAGGGGAGAAATTATTTCAATGCCATATGTGTGGCACTCACTTTACCCAGAAGGGACACTTTGCAGAGCATTTCAGGAAGTTACACCCAGAAGAGAAAACCTGCCTCTTAAGGATCGACCACAAGTTCTCAATGGGATTAAGGTCTGGGGAGTTTCCTGGCCATGGACCCAAAATGTTGATGTTTTGTTCCCCGAGCCACTTAGTTATCACTTTTGCCTTATGGCAAGGTGCTCCATCATGCTGGAAAAGGCATTGGTCGTCACAAAACTGTTCTTGGATGGTTGGGAGAAGTTGCTCTCGGAGGATGTGTTGGTACCATTCTTTATTCATGGCTGTGTTCTTAGGCAGAATTGTGAATGAGCCCACTCCCTTGGATGAGAAGCAACCCCACACATGAATGGTCTCAGGATGCTTTACTGTTGGCATGACACAGGACTGATGGTAGCGCTCACCTTGTCTTCTCGGACAAGGTGTTATCCGGATGCCCCAAACAATCGGAAAGGGGATTCATCAGAGAAAATGACTTTACCCCAGTCCTCAGCAGTCCAATCCCTGTACCTTTTGCAGAATATCAGTCTGTCCCTGATGTTTTTCCTGGAGAGAAGTGGCTTCTTTGCTGCCCTTCTTGACACAAGGCCATCCTCCAAAAGTATTCGCCTCACTGTGTGTGCAGATGCACTCACACCTGCCTGCTGCCATTTCTGAGCAAGCTCTGCACTGGTGGTGCCCCGATCCCGCAGCTGAATCAACTTTAGGAGACGTTCCTGGCGCTTGCTGGACTTTCTTGGGCGCCCTGACGCCTTCTTCACAACAATTGAACCTCGAAGTTAACTAACCAAATATTTTTGTTGCCATGTTTGTCATAAAGGCTTCCATCCAAATGCACACCTGACAGAGCATATGAAGAAGACAAGACACAAGGGTGGAAGTGCTCTATGAGGGGAACATAGTTCAGTCCGAATATCTGAAGAAACAGTTTAACAATGTATGACATTCCCCTCATGTCACTTCTGTTAGTTGAATGAATTGAATGTATTGATTGATGTATGTGGGCAATTGACATGTGTTACTGTATTTCTACACGGTGTCTTCTATTTGTCACTATATCAATTTATCACAAAGCATGGTACATTTTTACCGTTTTGGCATATCAAAGGGTGACAATATCAAACAAGGTAACCATCCATGGTTGAACTAAAATGTTGTGATATTGATCGAGAAATTATTGAGCGAGAAAAACGCAGCAGTGTTGCAATTCTTGACACACTCAAACTGGTGCCCCTGGAATCTACTACCATACCCCGTTCAAAGGCACTTAAATATGTTGTCTTTCATTCACCCTCCAAATGGCATACAGCCACAAACCATTTCTCAATTGTCTCAAGGCTTAAAAATCCTTCTTTAACCTGTCTCCTCCTCTTCATCTACACTGATTTAAGTGGATTTAACAAGTGACATCGATAAGGGATCATAGCTTTCACCTGAATTCACCTGGTCAGTCTGTCATGGAAAGAGCAGGTGTTCCTAATGTTTTGTACACTCTTATGCCTGATCATGACCTGCCACAGCTATTTTCAACACCAGTGAGAGACCTTCAACCAGAGTAGTCCTCAATCCCAACAAGACAAAGAAAAGTGCAGATTGCATAAACAACACAAAAGAGAACTCAATTAGTTAAACAGTTATGGGGGGGTTGAATAGCAATGGGGGGGTTGAACAGCAATGGGGGATTGAACAGAAATGGGGGGGTTGAACAGCAATGGGGGGGTTGAACAGCTATGGGGGAGTTGAACAGCAATGAGGGGATTGAACAGCAATGGGGGAGTTGAACAGCTATGGGGGTTTTGAAGAGCAATGGGGGGTAGAACAGCTATGGGGGGGTTGAACAGCAATGGGGGGGTTGAACAGCAATGGGGGATGAACAGCTATGGGGGGGTTGAACAGCTATGGGGGGGTTGAACAGCTATGGGGAGGTTGAACAGCTATGGGGGGTTGAACAGCAATGGGGGGGTTGGACATCTATGGGGGGGTTGAACAGAAATGGGGGGGATTAAACAGCAATGGGGGATTGAACAGCATTGGGGGGTTGAACAGCAATGGGGGGTTGAACAGCTATGGGGGGGTTGAACAGAAATGGGGGGGTTGAACAGCTATGGGGGTTGAACAGCAATGGGGGGGGGGGGTTGAACAGCAATGGGGGGGGTTAAACAGCAATGGGGAGTTGAACAGCAATGGGGGGTAGAACAGCTATGGGGGGATTGAACAGCAATGGGGGGGGTTGAACAGCAATGGGGGGGTTGAACAGCTATGGGGGGTTGAACAGCTATGGGTGGGTTGAACAGCAATGGGGGAGTTGAACAGCAATTGGGGATTGAACAGCAATGCAACAAAGCAAAAGAAAGGGAGAGACATTCCAAAAATGATGAGAGGTCAAACAAAAGCAGAAAGCAAGTGAGCGAACGATAACACGAATAGGCACAATGAGAGATGTGCATTGTAGGCCTTATTTGTTGTATGGCAACTTCTGGAATATGAACTCATCATGGCCAGAAAAGGTGAGGAATGTATTCTACAATGGTTATGATATATGTATTATGTTTATAAATGAAATATTGTCTACTCGAGAAATTTGACATTACAGTATTCAGACGTGCAATACTTCAACCACTTGAAACTGGTCCTCTGTAGCTCAATTGTAAAGCCAGGGTAGTGGGTTCGATCGCCGGGACTACCCATACGTAAAAATGTATGCGCACATGACTGTAAGTCGCTTTGGATAAAAGCGTCTGCTAAATGGCATATTATTATTATTATAAACTGTGCTTATGCATGGTCTAAAGTTTGCGGGAGGATAAGCACATTCTCACCTCAAGTTCAGTTTTGATAAATTCCCACTTTTGCCTTAAACTAGCTCACGCATGTTTTGTGCGTATGTAGCGTTTATAAATGAGGCCCATGGATAGAAAATGGGTTGTTCAGTCTCATCCATAGATCAGATCACACAAACCAACAGTGCAGAGGCCTGGCATGCCTGCACAGTAGGTGGCGGTAATACAAATACTTTCAACGTCGTGAAGGCTACGTCACTGACTCAAAGGGAGCAAATATACTGCCATTGGAGGAAACCCTTATCGCGTCTCTGTATGATATATATCTAACTGTATCGGACATAAGAGGACAACTGCTTCTTAAGAAAATGTCTAGACTACAGTTGTTACAACTATTTGTCAGTGAGCGGCTAAGAGCGGTGGCTACTGAAATATTTGGGGCCGTGGAAAAAACAATAACGGAATACCAGGAAGAAATCTCCCGTTCAAAGGAGGACAACGATCGTTTACGAGCGCTGTTCGATATCGCTTTCCATCCTCAGTTACCGAAAGCAGGTTTGCAGTTGACTGATTTTATTTTACTAAAGACACATTCCGTCTGTCTATGTCTGATGTGCCTTCCAAAGGGCCTAACAAAACACCAATGTATTCCATTCACATTAGGATGTGAAATGTCACTTAGGATTGCTATGGCAGTGACATTTTTTATTTTTAAAGCTATACATCAAGTCTCATACACAAAAACAAATATTTATTTTTGTAACGATTTGGTCACAAAAATCAAGCGATATTTCAATAGAAATTACCAATAAGCATCTGGAAATGTTACACATAAGAAATTTACATAATTGCTTTTAAACAAGTGTCAGGGCATAATTTATAGTCTAATTATATTTCGATTGTATGTCGCATGTCAGCAAATGCGAGTTAGCTATGTTTTTGTTCTTCCCTCCAGACCCACAGCATCTCACTCTCTCTGAAGAGGTTCTCCCTGAGCAGGAGTGGAGCCCCAGTCTGGACCAGGAGGACCCAGAGCCCACACAGATTAAAGAGGAACCAGAGGAGTTTGGGACCAGTCAGAGGGAGGAGTTAATAAGCAAAGACTGCATTTTGAAGGACTGTAATCAGAAACCACCTGAGCCACATCTTTACCACATTCAAATAGTGGAGAACAGAGAGAGGGACTCACTATCGATCAACACAACGGGAGAGATCAAAACAGAACCTGGTGAAGAGTGTTATGGTGTGTCTCACTGGGAACCAACCAGTGACTCTCAGTCCCTCTCTGCAGTAAATCCTGACAGTTCTGCAGCTCAGACTGAAAACAGTGAAAGTGACGATGGGGTGGACAGTGGAGGACTACCATCAGGGCTACAACCATTACAATCAAACAGCACCCAAACCACTTCTAAAGATAATAAGACGTTTCCATGCCGTACAAAATCACGCCGCCAAAGACTAGCCACACCGTGTTTTTGCAAAGTGTGTGGAAAGTCTTTTGACTTCATAAATCATTTAATCAATCATGTGCGAATGCATGCAAAGGATAAAGATCATCTCTGTGGTGTGTGTGGAAATGGCTTTGAGTCCACAGACAGCATGCTGGATCACCTGCTAACACACATCGGAGCCAAACCTTTTTGCCAGATGTGTGGTAAATGTTTCACTAATAAGGCGAACCTGAAAGTGCATATTGTGAGGGCTCATGCTGGTGAGAGACCATTTGAGTGTCCTGTGTGTGGAAAACGCTTTCATACATCATTCATTTTAAAAACACACCAAGTCATTCATACTGGGGAGAAACCATTTCAGTGTCAAGATTGCGGTAAACATTTCAGTCGAAAAGGAAGCTTGCAGATGCACCTGAGGACACACACAAAGGAGAAGCCGCATCGTTGCCATGTTTGTGGAAAGGGCTTCCCTGTGAAGAGATCCCTGACCACACATATGACGAGTCACACAGGGTTGAAACCGCATCACTGTGAAGAATGTGGCAAGGCCTTCGCTGTGAGTGAAGCCCTGACAGTGCATATGAAGACTCACCTAGAGGAGAAACCGCATCCGTGCCATGAATGCAGCAAACGCTTCAATCGGATGGGATCCCTTAGAAGGCATATGAGCTTGATTCACAAACTGGAGGAATCATGATTTGCGTGGGGAAAATGTGTCAGTTTAAACTAGATTGAAAGGTACTAACTGATATCTAGAATGATATACTTATTGTATCTCAGAAGTCACAGCTTTAGGTTGAAAAAGGTAGACAATCATGAATGCATGAACATGCATAACATTGTGGGGAGCCACAGAGTGGTGTGTCTAACAAAGACCTGTTACTGGATTAATTAAAATGGCATGTTTTGAAAATGTGTATGTGACTGCTTGAACTGAAAGACCTTCCACGTGTGTGTTTGAGAATGAGACTCTTTGTTTAAATATTGAATTATGTCAAATCTATTTTGACTGTGTTGCACAAAATGTCATGGTTTAATAAAACAAATGTTGCAAATGTTTTTTGAACAAATGTCATTTTGGGAAACCCTTTTTCACTTGCTGTATTGGAAATTAAATTGGGTAGGACTTTTGGTAACAGTAAGAATAGTGTAACAGTGAGATCGTTATATACAGAAGACGCCACCACAGTATACACTTGACATGGTACTACACCCACACATATTGCTGCAGCCTGAATGGTAGAAGATTGCACAAATAGTCATCCTGACTTGAAACAGACCAATTCTTTACTAAAACATTTAAAGATGCACTACGCAGAAATCGCTCCACCATTTCCTTGTTGCTAAAAAAGCATTTTGCACCGCTGCCCCCAAACTCTGAAACTCTCTCCCCCCCCCAGCCACCCGTATTTTCAAAAACAATATCCAAGCCCACTTGTTTAGTCTTCCATTCCCCTAAGCTTAGCTCGCCCTTACTCAGACCTAGCCTAAGCTAAGTAGCTTTTATTAATTGTATTGTTTTGTTTTGGTGTGCAGTGTCCTTAGGGTTTTTGAAAGGTGCTTAAAGTCCCATGTATTCTTCTTATTATTATTAGGGATAAGGATAACTGTGGCAAGACCCTAATAGGCTAGTCATACAGCCCAGCAGTCAGGTCCAAGTCCTAAGGGGAAATAGATAAGGATGTTCAAATAAATTGATTGATTGCATCTAGTTAGGTTGAATAAGATGGATTTTCTACCCTCTGCATCCTGTAAAATCTAGTGTAATTACAAAAGAACAACATCACCAGTCCTCACTGTATTGTAATGCTTTGTTCAAACATCAATCACTGATTCTTCTAGTGTTTTTAATACAGGACAATAGTTAAACTGCCCAGATTTACATGTTACTCTCCTTCTGTGCCAAGTACTTAATTTCAAAAGAATGAGCATAGATGTCTCTGCTGTTAACGTTTTGACTGAGCCATTTTCCAGCTGTGTGGTCTTTCCCCTGGGTGAATTTTAAAGTGGGTGTTCAGGTGAGCCGACTGATTGAAACATTTCCCACAGATGTGACAGCGGTAGGGTTTCTCTCCAGTGTGAATGCGGTGGTGTCTCCTCAACAGGCTGATGGTGGTGAAGCTTTTTCGGCACACAGAGCAGCTGAATGGTCTTTCCTTGCTGTGCCATCGCATGTGGACTTCTAACTGACAAGAGAAATTGAAGCACTTCCCACACTCCCGGCAAGGATACACTCTCTGTATGCCTTGGGCTTGATTGGGGGATCTCTGTTGAGGTAGCTTGGAGGTGTTCTGGCCTCTAACATGTATGTGTAGACCTATACTTTCTCTTTCATATGTTCCCTGTGGCTGTGGGGCCTTATATTCTGAGAGTCCTCTCTGAATTCTATTGTTGATATTGGGTTGGGCACTGTTTTCACTCCGAGCTGCAAGACAGTCTGAATTCACGGTGAATACAGGCTGTAAGTCACTGGTTGGTTCTGATGTGCTGTAGCCTTCTCCTTCATTCTCTATTTTGATCTGCTTATTAGATATGGTCCTAGCTAAAGAGTCTCCTTCTCTGTTGTCCACGGTTTGGGGAAGATGTGAAGGCTGAGGTAGGTCCTGATCACAGTAACTTTTCACAAAGGGAGGCGTATATATGGATTCTCCTTTGGTTTCAGACTCCAGCCCTTGAAGCTGCTCTTCCTCTGGACTGTTTCTGAGCTCCTGTTCCTCTTTAATCTGTGTGGACTCTGGGTCCTCCTGGCCTAGACCGGGCGTCCGCTCCTGCTCACGATGCTGCTGCTCAGGTGAAGATGCATCTTCGGTGAGATGGATAGCATGACAGTCTAGAGGAAAAATAAATTAAGAAAGTCGGGTGAAGGCAATTCTATTTCAGCATCACAGAGGAGCTAGCCAACAACACAGCTAACACAATCACTTCAAATTGAAGCTGGAAAGACAGCATACTAGCTGCACTTTGTTTCGTTTTACCTGTTTTCTATTGAATCATGAATCAGCATCATTTTTATGGATATATATATATATATATATATATATACAAATAACTTTAGTATATAATCCATAAAAATAATGCTGATTCATGATTTCGACTGGCTGAGAAAAGCTGCCTTCCTGTCTCATCCCGACGCGTTCATTAATATGGGACATCTGGAGATTGAATTTGAATATTGAAATAATGTTGCAAATGTTGGATACAGACAGCAAGGTTTATACAAATCTCCGCTGTTGAAAACTAAATACTAGTCTAAAAGAAATGTGAGATCATGTCTAGATAATTTTTATACTGGAGATCAAGTTTATCAAGTTTATTTGGATTGTGCAGTCAGATGGATTAGAGTAAATAGGCATTTTAACATCACAGATATAGCTGGTGATAATTTGTGGAATAGACACCGGCTGGAATGCGGTTTTAACCAATCAGCATTCAGGATTAGACCCACCCGTTGTAAAAGGTGTCAATGTAACGATGAATGGGTTCCCACCCCAGTGCAGCTCAATGTAAACAAGCGTAACGATAGGGTCGGTATCTAATAGGCTATTCATATTCTCGAATACTTAGGAATAAAAGTATAAACACATTCTGGTATTGTGTTTTCTATAGATTAGCTAATGGAGTTCAACAACAACCAATTCCCTCATTTTGCGAAATAAAAGTAGGTTGGTAGCCTAGCGTTCATTCCGCTAACTAGCTACCTGTTTGAAGTAGAACGCGCTGGACAGCGATATCCAGCAGCTTTCGGAGATGATTGTTCTCCTCCTTGGAACGAACGATTTCTGTCTGGTACTCAACTATCGTACCCTTCACAGCCCCAAATATCTCATCTGCAGCCGCAGCTAATCTCTCTGTGAAAAATATTTTCAACAACTCCAATTTTTTCATTTTGTTTTCCGTGTGAGCAGTATTTTCACAATCCACCATCTTTGTTTACATCTAGTTTCACGGAAGTGACGATGCATGTGATCTTTGTTTCCGCTCCGATAGCCCTGGCCGAATTTAAGAGCACCATCTGCGTATTGAAAAATAGTTATAAAGTCAAATAGTGGACTTCTCCAGATGTGTAGTAAGGGTTCTCAAACCTCTCTTCAGGGAACCCTAGCCATTCCATCTATTTTAACTATTCCACGGCTGATTCAAATTGTCAACTAACCAAGCCCTTGATTAGGTGAATCAGGTGTTAGTTCAGGGCTACAACAAAATTGTGAAATGTCTGGGGGTCTCCTAGGCTAGGTTTGAGAACCACTGACAATGAACTGAAACATGACCATGGCACTCAGTTTTCCAAATGTCGCTATAACTGAAACACTTTCTCAGTAAGATCAACAGGTCTTTCAATCCCTTCTCTTTGTGGGACATCTGGAATAAAGAGCCTGGATGAAAGCAACTTTACATAAAAGCATTTTTATTTAGTTTCAACACCCTTTAGAGATTTAGATAATGAATATCAGGACAGGCTCAAGCAGGTACACAATCAGCAGGCTCCTCGCTCCAGATCGTAAAACTGATCAGCAGATATAATCTGATCACAGTTGACATGGAACAGGACCAACAGGTACTCAGACAACAAAATGTCACATGCTAGCAGAGAAAAATGGAAATCGTCCGTTGAATTGTAACATGGTGTATGAACAGTACAAATAGGTTCAAACTCAGACAGAAAATAAGTACTCCCTGAGAAGCTGCTTTTTCACATTTTAAGAGCAGAAAAACACAATTTGTAACAAAGGTTCAACAGCAAACAGGCTGGATGTTGAACAGTGAAAGGGGTGTAATGTTCCATATTAAACTGTGTTTGGAGTGGGTCATGGTCAGATACATTGGATAAGTTAAAATAGCATTTCACCCAAACATACATTTTTTTGATTAAAAATACACTAGGAGCAGGAACAAGAGGAACATGGTGGGTGTATTTAAAAATGCACACATTTCAGTGAGTTCGCTTCTGTAAAACAAAACAGAAAAGCTAACTTTTACAGCCAAAAAGGGTACACACACCTTAATCTCATACTTCAAACCATCGTTACATGCTTTTCATTCAGTTAAACCTCAAATACAACTTAGTCCGTTCCAACAACAGTTCCACATTTACCGTGATATCAGTCAAAAACTAGGTGAACAAAAATGTACATGAGTTTGAGTCAGTAGATGTGGGACATGACAGATACAGGACGCAAAGCAGGTTAACTATTTTAAGTGCAGTAGTATGTGTAGTTACTGTAACTCCATTTAAAGCAGTCTAGGCATACACAGTATACAAATTCACTCTCTCTGCAACAATGACGCATGATTTAACATCCATAGGTGACAGGCTTGGCAGGTAAAACGACATGCTTTTGTCCTTACAATGCAAGATGGGGAATTACCTGAGAATGTTAGAAAAAAATCAGTCATTCTCCAACCAAATGGTTGCTTTTTCATGTTCTCTTTCGGGACACAGGAAAGAGCATAAATGGTAAATTAACAAAGATAAAATGATTACATGAGTATATCACTAGCACTGTAATCAAATAACATAAAAGGTGCAGAAATTAAGATGCATGAATTGTTTTTCCAGGACAAAAAGGTAACCATGAATTAAAAAGTAAAGAGTAAAAACAATACCATCTAAAATGTAAAATACAATGCGTTTTAATTGAAGAAAAATAAAATAAGCCCACCAGTCCCCTCTGACATATTGTAGTAGCCTTAGTCTGCTCCGATGACATGGGCTGATAGACAGTGGTGGTTGGGAATCAGTAACATAAATACATACTTCCTCCCCAAATCAATGAAGAGATCTGTCAAATGAACCCTCAATGGCAGTGATAGGTGATACCCTGCCAGTTGCGCTGGTAGTAGGTTGACTTGTGTTTAGTTCTGGTGATTGAGTGTTGGTGGTTAGTTCCGGTGATCATTTGAAATTATATTGGTGTTGATGAATGTAGGAGTTACTGTAGGTCAAGGGTTGGTCAGGGGTCGTGAACAGGGTATCAGGTGACATTAACATAGGCGTTACTCAAGGTCAAGGGTCTGTCAGGGGTCATGTACGGGGTGTCAGGTAGGCCAGTCTAGCTGTCGATCATCTCAGAGAGCTCCAGCAGGTAGTCATCCTCTCCCTTGCCTGGGTCCAGCTCCAAGTCATCCTCCAGACGGTCATCTGTGAACTCGTTCATCAACTCGTCAAATTCGTCCATGGCAGAGGTGGAGCAGTTAGCGGAAGGGGCTGATGCGGTCGAGCGAGACATCGCAACGCTGGGCCGCCGGGGCTTAGGCTGGATAGGTGTATTCACCACAGGGCTGGAGAGGAGAGAGAGGAACAGAGTTGAGCTCATTTAGCCATTGAAGTTTGGCTTTATGCTACGTTTAACCATATGACAGTATACGGGTGAGTTGTAACCGTAGAGCGGTTTGCCAGTGTTACCTCTGTGGGACTATGCAGGTCTCTGGGGCTGCTATGGTGATGGCTGGGCTGTGTTGGTTGACAGGGACCGCCTGGAACTCCTCTCTCAGGGGGCTGGAGCTGAGGCCAGGGCCCGGGATGGTGGGGGGTCTCCTGGAGACCACAGAGCTCATCTGGTCCTTCACACTGGAGGAAGTAGAGGACACCTGGAGAGAACACAATGGTATCAACACAGGTTATAACAACATCACAAAAGGAACCCCTACTATGCTGAGAGAGCAACTTATTCTCATAGTTTAACTTCGGAATTTGACGAAATTGGACAATCGATTTTTGACCCATTAATTCCACGTGGTTACAGGGTTAATAACGCATAGTTACAGGGTTAAAACAGAAACAAAAGGAGTTTAGGTATTCATTCCGAGTGGTTAAGGTTAGGGCTATTGTTTTGGGAAAGCATAAAACTAAATAATGTAAAAGAAAATGCACTGTTTCCATTAGTATAATCAAGTACTCTCCCTGCTTGCTGGAATATTGTGAACTGTTGAGGTGCAGTGGTCTGAGTAGCGCGCTCTGTTTTTTAAATTTATTTTCTATTCTAAAATGTTTTGTGAGCGCCGACGACTGCATATATCGACGTCCTCAAGCCCTTTTCAAATGTCCGAAATCAACATGTGTTTCTAGTGACCAGCCTGAGAGAGAGATTTTGAGACATACCTCTCTCCGTTTGCAGGGCAGCTCCTGCAGTGGCTCCTCCTGCACTGCGTAGGTGCTATTGAGGGGTTTCACTGCAGCGACAGCAGATCTAGCTGATGTTCTCTTCTGGCCTGGTTTCACCTGGGCAGCCAGCTTCATCACAGAAGGCCTCACGTTCAGCTTGGGCCTCACTGCAACAACAGCACACAGGAGGTCAGACTAATAATTTAGAGTTGACCTTTGCATAGGCTTGTTAGAGAAGTGTGGAAGAGAGCTTGTGAGAGGATTTTTTCTCTGGAGGCACATACCTTTAGCTTCAGTAGCTTGCCCAGGGCACATCTTCTGGGCTCCATCCTGAGCCTTCTCAACCGGAGAACCTTTCACAGAGGGCCCAGGGGAGGCCACTGCTGCTGCTAAGGCAGCCTGCTTTGGGGGACTGGAACCACCCAGGAAGCCTCTCTTCCTCTTGCCTGGGGCAGCGCTGGAACTCCTGGGGCTGAGTGAGGGGGAGTCTGCCTCTGCCTGCCTCAGTGGAGACCCCTGTTGGGGGGAGGCGGTGGCGCAGGACACAAGAGAGGCAGCCTTGGGTTTGAGGGTGATGCGCTGGCGAAGGGGGGTTTTGAGTGCCTGGGCAGGTGCCTCCAGGGTGATTGAGGGGGGAGAGGAGGCGGCAGGGGGGCTCACCCGCGCCCTCTTCTCCCGCTGGAGGGCGGGGCCTGTGGCTTGTTTTGGGAAAGAGTCTGCCTCGGCAGAGCCCTCTGGTTGGCTGGTGGACGAGGCCTGCTCTTCCTGCAGCTGTTGCCTGCGGAGCCTCTTCTCACGCATGATCTCCTCAAATGTCTTCACCTTCACACTGTCACCGGACACAGCATCACTCCTACCGTTAGCAGGACTGGCCTAAGGACCAGAGGAATAGTGACATTCAGTGATTAACAGAGCTGATTCAGAGTATAACTACATATTTGGATGTACAGTATTCATACAGAACGACACAGGACACAATTCTTACCTCAGTAGCAACAGAAGCAGGCTCAGTTTGCTTCTCCGTCTTCTCGGTCACCTCAGATGTCTTCTGGGTGGTAGTGCTGGCAGCTGTCAGGACAACAAAAGAATGTCTTAGAATTATACAAAACACTGCAGCTAGTGGGGTCAGGCCACCTTACAATGTAAATTGCTATGAGCAATTCTAAAAGGTCTATATCAAATCAATAATAAATTAGTTATAGACCATAGTGCAAAAAACTCCTCACCAGGAGAAGCAGCTTTGTTGATGCGCAGTACCAGGGCCTTCTTGGTGCCTCCCTCTCCAGAGGCTGAGCCTGGGCTTTTCCCGTTGGACGCCTCCTGTCCCTGGGCCTGCATCTTGGCTGCCTTCTCCCTGCGGATCTCCTCCAGGGTCTTTACCTTAACTCCACCTCCAGGAGGTGCCACCCGGCTGGGCATGGCTGTCTCTGTGGGTCCCTGGGCCTGGGAGTACCCTGGAGCTGCTTCCATAGCCGCCTGCTTGGCCTTTCTGAGGCTGGGGCCTTGCTGCTGGTCCTCCTCCAGCTTCCTCTTGGCATGGAGGATCTCAGAGAATGTCTTCACGTGGAGGCTGGCTGCAGGTTTGCCAGTGGTGCCTCTCTTTGGGGCCTTGGTGGTACTGGTAGTATCAGGGGTTGAAGGGAGAGGGTTGTCCCCCGGAGCTTGTCCCTGGGACTTGGCCAACTTCTCCTGCCTGATCTCCTCCAGGGTTTTGATGCGGATTACTTCAGGTGCTGTACTCTCACTGTTGCGCTCAGCTGACGGAGAGATTAGTTAGAGATTAAAAGACAGACAATAATACCTTTCATTCAACATATATATATAAAAAACAATAGTTAAATACTGTTAAGATAACCGTTTCTAACGAAGACTGTATAATCCACCCAAAGCTCTTTTTACAGGACATAATTTTGAGTTAATGATTTTACCTGATTCAGAGGCAGTGGTGGGTTCAACAGGTAATCCCAATCTATCCCTGACAGGTTTCAGAGCTAAGGTTAAAAAAAAAAAAAAAATGAATCCAAATTATCAATGACAATTACTTTAAACAATGCTTTTACTTCTTAGTATCAAACAACAACAATTATGCATCTCCTGTGGCACAGATGGTCCTAGAGGGAATCTAGTGTGGATTCCTTTGTTCCAGAACAGACACCTGATTCTGCTTAACCACTAATCAGGGAATTGAACCAATGAGGGGATTCAATTAATGCCCCGGGTGAACCTGGTTAGTGTTGATTGCGTTCGATTTGGAAGCAGGCTGCCTCCCGGGTGTGAGCCAGGGGTGTAATCATTAGTCCAAACAGTAAAACACGTTTATTGGAAAAATTCAGGTAGGTCCCTCCCTGTTTCGTTTGCATTCATTTAAGAAACGTTTTGCAACAGAATTGGCGTAATGAATAGACCCCAGGTGCGCCACTCTAAAAGTGACCTATGTTAAAGAGTGACTGCCCCTAAAAAAACAACTAATCCCTTTGAAAATGGCCCATGTGGCATCGATATACAGAAAATAGCCCTATTTGGTAAAAGAACAAGTCCATATTATGGCAAGAACAGCTCAAATAAGCAAAGATAAATGACAGTCCATCATTACTTTAAGACACGTTTCTTCAAGTGCAGTCGCAAAACCCATCAAGCGCTATGATGAAACTGGCTCTCATGAGGACCGCCACAGGAATGGAAGACCCAGAGTTACCTCTGCTGCAGAGGATAACTTCATTAGAGTTACCAGCCTCAGAAATTGCAACCCAAATAAATGCTTCACATAGTTCAAGTAACAGACATCTCAACATCAACTGTTTAGAGGGGACTGTGTGAATCAGGCCTTCATGGTCAAATTGCTGCAAAGAAACCACTACTAAAGAACACCAATAAGAATAAGAGACTTGCTTGGGCCAAGAAACACGAGCAATGGACATCCTTTGGTCTGGTGTCCAAATTGGAGATTTTTGGTTCCAACCGCTGTGTCTTTGTGAGACACAGAGTGGGTGAACGGATGATCTCTGCATGTGTATTTTCCCACCGTAAAGCATGGAGGACGTGTTATGGTGTGGGGGTGCTTTGCTGGTGACACTATGATTTATTTAGAATTCAAGGCACACTTAACCAGCATGGATACCACAGCATTCTGCAGTGATACGCCATCACATCTGGTTTGGGCTTAATGGGACTATCATTTGTTTTTCAACAGGACAATGACCCAACACACCTCCAGGCTGTGTAAGGGCTATTTTACCAAGAAGGAGCGTGATGGAGTGCTGCATCAGATGACCTGGCCTCCACAATCCCCCGACCTCAACCCAATTGAGCTGGTTTGGGATGAGTCGGACCGCAGAGTGAAGGAAAAGCAGCCAACAAGTGCTCAGTATATGTAGGAACTCCTTAAAGACTGTTGGAAAAGCATTCCAGGTGAAGCTGGTTGAGAGAATGCCAAGAGTGTGCAAAGCTGTCATCAAGGCAAAGGGTGGCTATTTGAAGAATCTCAAATGTTAAATATATTTTGATTTGTTTAACACTTTTTTGGTTACTACATGATTCCATGTGTTATTTCATAGTTTTGATGTCTTCACTATTTTTCTACAATGTAGAAAATTGTAAAAATAAAGAAAAACCCTTGAATGAGTAGGTGTTCTAAAACTTTTGACCAGTAGTGTAAATTATCTTTGAAATTGTTGCATGTTGCGTTTATATTTTTGTTCAGTATAGTTTGAAAATTCGAACATATTTCATATGAAAGAGTTGTTTCTGAACGATGCATTGTTGACAATATGACCGAGTGGCACAGATGACCATTCCATTTGAGCAGGGCGTGCCTCCCTCACTGGTTTCGCGCGGTCATGTGACGGGCTATAGCCTGGTTCAACCCAGTTCATCTTAATCTAACTCAATTAGTACAACCCGGGTCATTTTGATTAGGCACGGAAGACAGACTAACCGGGAGGGACCATTAATACCTGTCCCAATAAATGCTCATTTTCGTTTTCCATTGCCAAAAATGTCTAAATGTTTTCTGTTGCAATCATGAACAAAGGCTAACATTCTATTTCAATGATAGTCTCTTAAGAACTAGTATTCCTGATAGTCTGAGGTAATTCAATCAATGGGGGATTTTTGGTTGTCATTTCCCTTCCCATACCTTTCTGAGGGGGCAGGTCCATTTCACCCTCGTCCATTTTCCTCCCGAGGCGCTCCGCCAGACAGCGTTTCATTGGCAGGTCACCCCCGGCAGGAACTTCTAAAAGGTCAGAGGTCATGGTAGCTTAGAGTGTTGGTGACCGATGGTATCACCAATAACGACCAGTGTAATTTTGTAGTTCATTTAACACTGTACATTTTCCTGTGTAACAATTATTTTTATTATTATTTGGGGGTGCTTATATTTGTCCTCTTACTGACTTCAGCAAATATGTAAGGGAAATGTGTTTTTTTGCATATCGCAACTCCCCCACGAGACACCCGCAGGGAATGGGGTCACAGCCAGGATCAATTGAGGTTAAATGCCTTGCACAGGGGCACAGCAACAGATTTTTCACCTTGTCGGCTACGGGATTCGAACAAGCAACATTTCGGTTACTGGCCCAACACTAATCTCGAGGCTACCATTGACTGGCAGTGACTTCCTTACATTTTATAGATAAAAAAGATAATAGAAAACATTGTACCTTTGACTACTCTCTTCCCAAGCCTGTCCGCGACATTGCGTCTCCCGGTCTTTTCACCAAAGACCACAGTGTCTGAGGGGACAGCAAGCATATGTTACAAATGACATGACATGTAGCAAGTGTGTGTTCATATGTACATGTGCGATTCACTTCAACAATATTCAATCTGGGATTTTGTGTTAATCTATACGCAAGGCTCAGTTAGATCAGGTGTTCAATGATTCTTACCATCCTTGGCTGTGACGAGAGATGGACGGATGAAGGATCTCATGTTCTCCTTCTCTCCGCTGGCACCATTGTTCCGCTGGTCTGAGCCCTGGCTAGGAACTGGATAACCTGACAAAGTACAGTTGATAAACTCACGCCTCATAATTTACAGCATAATCACACAAAAGGCAATCGTCAATGTATTTGGGAGGTAAGAGGAAGGATGAACTCACCAGCTCTCCTCATACTGGCTTTCAGGGCTTTCCTCAGTCTGATCTCCTCCAAGGTTCTGACACCAAAGTCCAGGGAATCATCTGTGCCAAAGAAACACTGTTAGCCAATCACAGAGAGCCATGGGGGCAGCTCAAAGAAAATGGGGTCACTCTCCTTTTCACCTCATTTAACGCCTGATTTTCTTAACAAAAGGCACATCTCAATAAGTGGTCCAGGCACAGTGCCTTCAGAAAGTATCCACACCTTGACTTAACCCACATTTTTGTTGTCTTACAGCAGCAGGTCAAATTCAAGGACATTCAAGTACTTTTTCAAGCACTAATATTTTTTCCTCCAAGGACCATCAATTTGTAATAGTTCATATTATGCAATTGTTTCTAGTCGCCACCAGATGGCAGTATTTAGCCACAACCTCTTGAAAAAACAAACAGTGTTCATCACTACCTTGCAAGTACTACTCAATAATACATTGTTTTACTACATACATGTGTTAGTACTGATGATTTTGTAATTTGAGTAGTGATGAGCAGAGAATTGGGACATGCCTACTGGTGAACACACATTTCCTATTTGCATTTCTACACAATTCCAGCTTAATGACTGTTTTTATTGGGCATTTGGTAAGATACTACTTAATAGCGACGAAAAAGCATCTTGCTTCCGACTGGCAGCTTTAGTGTCGCCGGTCGGGAGAAGCGCGGGTGGGCTGTGTATGAAAAACGGCACGTGAACGGCAACCGGAACGGCAGGAGCACAGTTGATAAAGCGGAATATGAGGCTATTGGCAAAAAAGCCCTGGAAGCTGTTGCAGAGAAAAAGTCACATAATGTAGAACTGGCACCAGCGCAGGATGCAGCGTTGTGACCAGGGTTCGTACAGACAGTGGCAAATCAAATTCAAGGACTTTCAAGCACTAATACTTATTTAAGGACCAACAATTTGCAATAGATCCTATTATGCAATTGTTTCTAGCCGCCACCAGATGGCAGTATATCGCCACAACCGCATGAAAATAAAAATAAAACGTACTATTCATTACTACCTTACAAGTTCTACTCAATAATACGTGTTTCACTACTTATTCACTACATAAGTGGCAAGTCAGTACTGATGATTTTGACTGATTTCCTTATATGAACTGTAACATCTTTGAAATTGTTGCATGTTTTGTTTATATTTTTGTTCAGTGTATATAATAATATTAAATTGTCTTTATATTTAAATTGTCTTTATATTTCACTAAATCTTAGGTCCCACAGGCTGTCCCAACACATGACATGAAAGTGAATTCTGACAGCGTAAAAGGCCCTTAGTTGATTCTAAAATGTATTCCATACCCATTTGAAGAGAAACAAGTTAATGTGTTTGATAAGATTAATGATTCTCTCAGGGGACCCTATTTACATTTTGGTGGACACCAAATGGGTCCCGGACCGCAGGTTTGGGATCCCCTGTACTACTAACCTCTCTCCCTGCTTGCTTTAATGCCTTCTCTCTCTGTGGATCTCCTTTGCCTCATTCATTGCAGCCTCACTCACCACTGTCTCTAACTAGTCTATAAAAATGTATTTTGTTATGAGAACTTCTAGTAGCCCATCTTTTGATTATAGCTAGCTTAATTTCAGTCAAATGCTCCTGCTGAGGTCAGGCTCCATTCAACATTAGCTTCTAACTTCATCCTTCTGACCAGCTAGTTATAGCTAGCTACCTGGCTAATAGCCAGAGCCCATTAAAATAAAATCCCACTGCCAGCAGCGTCTCTCTGCTACTTTTCACTGTAGGTCTGGGCTAAGGTAGTTCGTTTTTTCCTGTGTACAAAGTGTTATGTTTGGGGCAAATGCAATACAAAACTTTACTGAGTACCACTCTCCATATTTTCAAGCATAGTGTTGGCTGCTTCACGTTATGGGTATGGTTGTAATCATTAAGGATTGGGGAGTTTTTCAGGATAAAAAGAAACGGAATGGAGCTAAGCACAGGCAAAATCCTAGAGGAAAACCTGGTTCAGTCCGCCTTTTACCAGACACTGGGAGATTCATTCACCTTTCAGCAGGACAATAAACTAAAACACAAAGCCAAATCTACACTGGAGTTTCTTACCAATAAGTCAGTGAATGTTCCTGACTGACCAAGTTACAGTTTAGACTTAAATCTACTTGAAAATCTATGGCAAGACGTGAAACTTGTTGTCTAGCAATAATCAATAACTAATTTGACAGAGCTTGAATAATTTTGTAAAGAATAATGGGCAAATGTTGCACAATCCAGGTGTGGAAATCTCTTAAGAGACTTGCCCAGAAAGACTCAACTCTTATTGCTGCCAAAGGTGCTTCTACAAAGTATTGACTCAGGGGTGTGAATAATTATGTAAATTAGATATTTCTGTATTTTATTTTCAATATATTTGCAAAAATTGGTTATTTTGTGTGGATGGGTGAGAAAAAAATTAATTTAATCAATTTTGAATTCAGGCTGTAACAACAAAATGTGGAATAAGTCAAGGAGTATGAATACTTTCTGAAGGCACTGTATGTCATGACATTTACATTTTAGTCATTTAGCAGACACTCCTATCCAGAGCGACTTACAGGAGCAATTAGGGTTAAGTGCCTTACTCAAGGGCACATCGACAGATATTTCACCTAGTCGGCTCTGGGATTAGAACCAGCGACCTTTCGGTTACTGGCACTACGCTCTTAACCACTAAGCTACCTGCCGCCCCGACATAGAACAAGTGGTGGGGTGGGCTTTTCCTCTTTTGTTCTCTCTTGCTCCTTAAGCAAGGGGGTAGGCCGATGACATACCTGATTCATCAGTCCATTCTCCTTGAATGCCCTACTCATTTCTTTTTTTTTTTTACATTTTACATTTTAGCAGACGCTCTTATCCAGAGCGACTTACAGTTAGTGAGTGCATAATTTTTTTTTCCATTTCATACTGGCCCCCCGCGGGAATCGAACCCACAACCCTTGCAACGCCATGCTCTACCAACATCCCTGCCTGCCATTCCCTCCCCTACCCTGGACGACACTGGGCCAATTGTGCGCCGCCCCATGGGTCTCCCGGTCACGGCCGGCTACTCCTTGAAGTTTACAGTTTTGTCCCAAAAAAATACTACTTTGCTCAAAACCTATTTTGTATTACTCTTTAGTATGTGTATTTTACTGAATTTATTCTTGGGATATCACTTTTCAACAGTAAACATTTAAAAATAGCTGGAGGATGTCTTTAAGGGGATTGTTCTAATCTAAAGCCTTTCAAATACAACACTGTTTTGTCAATGAGGCACTGAAAAGCGAAGCCGTCACCTCAAGTTTGAGTCTACCCTTGTAGTGTTTCAAACTAAATCTGCGTTAAAACAGGCATTGTTTAAGATGTTGATATCTATTTTATGTGTTGTTTCTTTGTCCTCTTCTTACCTGAGCTAGAGCCCACGGCCATCTTCCTGGGAGAGACCACTCTGGAGCCGTCTGAGCCGGACCTGCTGTCCTCTCCTTCTGACAACTGATCTGCACACACACATGAACCCCCCCTTAGTCAAACGGTATTTCCCAAATTATTCTGTGAACAAACTACTGTACTGTACCCAACAATATCAATACCATTTCCCCTATTTAATATAATTTTCACCTAGCATTTTAATCACCTTGAAGGTCTGCTCCACTGTCTCTGCCCCTTAAGAGCTCTTTTATGTTTATGCTCTGTCTATCTTTCCACTGTGCATCTTTCCATTGCCGAGCTCCTCCATGCCCTACGGACTACATGCTGTTCAAATTTTATATTGCTTTTTATTGTTTATATTGTTTTTCTTTCTACATTGTTTGCTCTTCCTTTTTAGTGATGTAAAGTGTGTTGTGACCTTTGTAAATTGCACTTTAAATAAACTTGACATGACGTGTTTCTCACCATCTTCATCCTCATCTTCGTCATCTGCCGGGTTGATAACCACAGGCGGGTGAGTGGGGCTGGGAACGTTCTCCTGAGTCTCTGCCTTGATGACCCCACGGAGCTGGGGATTGGCTGGGCTGGGGATGGGGACAGGAGGCAAAGAATCCTCATGAGACTCCTCCTCTTCTTTCAGGGCCGAACCTGAGTGACAAGACAATCAAGCTCAGAAACTATGGATAAACTCTGGTTCTGGTGAAGAATAGGTTCATAAGTGAGCCCAAATGTTATTCACCTCAATCATTTATCTGCTGATACACTATCATGTAAAGTGAAAATCATGTCAATAATGTGTTTAAGAGCCATGCGATGCTAAGGAGATAAAGATCAGTAAGCTAACAGTGGCTTGGTCAGGATCGGCCTGTTCAGAGTGACTACTAACTTTTGTTGGGTGGTACGTATTGACCGTCTATAAAGCGTGGTTTCTCGTGGTGGAAGGCACAGTGAGGCTTCTGGCAGCCAGCAGGCTGGTTCTCCCAGTAACAAGCTATCTCCTTCCTGTTTTTCTGTAAGAGGGGAAGAGGTAGAGAGAGGGCAGGTCAGAACATGTAGCATAATGTCTTGCAACATATGATTCTTTGTGAAAGCTCACTTTAGAAGAAAAAAAGAGGGAAATTCAGCCCTTTAAAGCTATGACAGATTGCCTCAAAATGGCCAGGTGTAAAACTAGAGAATATGGTGTTACTGCGAGGAGACCAAAAAAAGATTGAAATGTCCCTCCCGACAGGTCCAGAGGCACAACCCCTGACCCAGGTTAAGAGAGGGTATTTCTCTACCCCTCCGTAACGGCCACTTGAGACACACACAGCCTTGAGTAGGCAAAGCTTTAAGGGGATATTCCTGAAATACTTTTTGGTTTGTGTGAAAAAACGGAGGCAATAATGAGCAAAGATGGTCTACTAAAAGAGAGAGAGCACTATCCTTACCTTGATCTCCATGTGGCGGAACTTGCAGACCTGTCTGAAACAGCGACTCTCCTGCCACAGGCTGCAAACGACCTCACTGCCCATTGCAGCTTCACAGTGTCTGAAGGGGCAACTGTCACCCTGCACCAGGAGACAAACACAACCATGTCAATACTTACAACTCTGAGAGCTGCATTTACACCCCCAAAACGCAGCAACACAGAAAATGCTACAATGCTAGTTTCTCTTTGTTATGACCCCTACCTTAGCGCAGTTGGAGTAGTAGAAGAAATAGCAGTCATCTCCATGGTTAGTCATGTTCAGGATGGTGGACTGGATTCACGTCCGGGTCAGGGGTGTTCTCTTCAGGGCCAACAGGACTCTCCCTGGGCTGGCAACAGTGAATCAGAATCCATGGTCATTTCTCTGCCATTAGTGGATTTCATTGCTTCACTGTGGTGGCAACAGAACTCTACAGAGTCGAATTCTAAAGAATTTCTTTGTGGTCTATGATGACATACAGGTAACTGACTAAATAAAGGAAACACCAACATAGTGTGTATTAATTAATAGGGTGTTGGGCCACCACGAGCCGCCAGAACAGCTTCAATGCGACTTGGCATGGATTCTACAAGTGTCTGGAACTCTATTGGAGGGATGTGACACCACTCTTCCACAAGAAATTCCATCATTTGGTGTTTTGTTAATGGTGGTTAGTGCTGAGCGATTAACCAAAAACGTGTTTTTTTTATCTTTAAACCACAAATTGACTGGCGTCGGTTCAATTATTTGAATTCCATTTCGATAAGTTTTTTCTTCTCATGTGAGCTTGATGTGCAGTTTCTGTCAAGTCAAATCAGATGAAGCCTGAACTGTGCGATGTAGAAGGGAGTTGTATTTTCCAGTAGGCCAATATTCTACATAGTTTAGTGGAGAAAATGTGGTAATTAACTACAATGAACATAATCCATTGCGTGCCTGCTTAAACTTGTCCGGTCTGTGCAGAGCACACACGGAGACTGAGAAGAGAAAATGCACGATTGAGAGGGACAGAAAGCAGTTGCTTTGCGAGCCTGAAAATACATTATCTAAGTGATTGATAGTTGTTATTCAGCAGTCATAAACCCTTATTTACTTCGAAGAACAGCACAGTCAGCAGCTGAGATAATGACTAGGAATGAAATAATAAAGTCAATAAATAAAACAAATATTTTACTAAAGTAATGAGAATAAATCACTACCATCATGGGACTTGTATTGTTTTATTCAGTGTTGTTACAGCATTCAACCCACATAATGCATTTAATGTCTACTTTTTTTAAATATCAAAACCGAATTCTGGGATAATTTTTTACATGACTGAACTGATCTCACAAATCACTCATTACTCAGCACTAATGGTGGTAGAAAACGCTGTCTCAAACGCCGCTCCAGAATCTCACATAAGTGTTCAATTGGGTTGAGATCTGGTGACTAAGACACATACACCCTTAAAACCCCTTATGCTCACCCCCCCTTTCAAAGTCACAGCTCCTTTCTTCTAGCCATGGTAGCCAAAATAATGGATAACTTGCCCAACATGGTATGTTAATCGCTTAATTAATTCAGGAACCACACCTGTGTGGAAGCAGCTGCTTTCAATATATTTTGTATCACTCATTTACTCAAGTTTCCTTTATTTTGGCAGTTACATGTATGTCCACGTCAGGAATATGACCCAGAGTAGAAGTTGCAGAGAACCTAAACTCTGCTTCAAAGGGTTGTGTGGCTAAACTCACCTGTAGAGGCTAAGAAGATTCCTCCCTTCCTCACGCACTTCTGATAGGGTGTCTCCTTGGCAACAATGGTCCTGAAGGAACACTTGATCCGTGAGATAAGAGGAAAAAGGGAAGGTCCAGAGACACTTGTCGTCCTATGACCTCCCTTCTGACTCCTTCCAGCCAGACTGCTAAGCATTACAGATGGATGGTGCAAGAACGTCCTTGTTTTTTTTATTATTTTTTTTTAATGGGGGGAAATAATGTGAGATAGAAGCAAATCATCCAAAAAGACTGCCAGAGAAAAAAACGAGAGGTTTTGAAAGATAAAAAAATGGGGTGAAGAGGAGAGGGGGGCAGAAAAATCTTCAACTTCTTCTTAAACTTGATGGCATAAAGGATGCTGTAGAAAAATATAAGTAAGGGTGGGGCTTCTAGGGATTCCAGCAGGCAAAAATTTTGGAGTGGAAAAAAGGTGGTGGGAATTTCACATAAAATCTTCTGGGAATCTACTTTCTTTATAATGAACTCTATCCCCCATCCAAAGATCTTCAGGAATGGACAAGAAGCTGCTTCTTAACCTAGATTTAAATAAAACAAAAACACTCCCCTGGAAAACTGAATAGAAATTGGTTAGAGTACAGGACAGAGACTTGCACACAAACATAGTAAAGTATCGGAACTGCACTTTCTCACCAAAGTGTAGTTAACATCAAGAGAGAAAATGTAGAACATGACAAGGATGTGCCAACACCATCCACAATAGCATGTGATAGAGCAGTGTTTCCCCACTCTGGTCCTGGGGTATCCCCTACAGCACACATTTTTGTTGTAGCCCCTTACAAAAACACCTGTTTCAATTTATCAAGGGCTGGATGATTAGTTGACAAGTACTATCAGGTGTTTGTCCAGGGCCACAACAAAAATATGTACTGTTGGGGATACTAAAGGACTAGAGTTGGGAAACATTGTGATGGAGCATAGGTCAAACTGAATTTGACTATAAGAATTTGACTATAACAGACTGAGTATTGTGTAATCCATTATTGGGAGCTCAATCAGCTCATACTGCGTGATTAAGTTTGGATATCAACCCATTGCTTCAATTTCATGTATTGAATTTGGAATAATAAAATGTCAAACTGTATATTGTGTGTAAAATTTGACACATCTGTCCAGAGGCACCCCACAACATCTTGTTAACTTGGAGGGCCTCGATGTTGGTTTGCAATTTCGAGGAGTAACATACCGCACTGTTATCGTACAATCAAGGACAGACATTTCGAATAATGTAGTTAAACAGCCAAATAACACAAGTTTTGAAAACGTAAAATTATAAAACACGAAACATATTGGCAAGACGAATTACCAGAATTACTGGGCGAATGCGATTTTCATCTTCATACGTGGTAGTTACTGAAAACACAAAATTCATTGCAACATTTAGCTAGCTACTCATGTTCACGTCACAATATGAATGCTATAGCTAAATAACGTTTCAAATTACGCTTCACGCGTTTATAACTACCTAGCCCCACATCAAAATACAAAATAACTAGTTAGCTAAGATAACGTTCTGACCAACTAAGTTAGCTAAGTTACCTAGAAACAAATCGTTCTGCTTTTATTTTGACGTGTCTATTCTGTAATTTGTTATTCACACTGATGGCTCCCTGACATAAAACTCCTTGATAAAATAAAGGTAAAAAAATAAACTCCAACGCCAAGTTACCTTGCTAACGTTAACTAGCTACAGTAGCTAGCTAAACAATATAAAACAAAACAGTAACTTGCTATTTTAGCTACGTTATTACAAATGGCTAACCTTAGTTAACGTTACACTCCGCCACCGTTTGGTCATTAGTTAGTTTAACTGGGTGGTAATTTTAATTAACTAACGTTAGGTAGAATACATATAGAATCTGCTATCAGCTATATATAGAATCTGGTTACAATGCCTCGATGCTAGCAACTAACGTTATACTTCTTGGCCTGGCCAAACTCTGTGGGCCTGGTTGTTAGCGAACGTTAGACTGCTAACGTTAGCTACGAGGCTCGAGCTAGCTCGTTGTTGCTAACATTAGCCAACTAACTCGGACGTTTTACACCTTCGCTTCCAAGTAACGATCTACCCTTAAATAGTAATGTAATAACATCTAGACAAAACAAGTATTGAATAAACGAGTTAGTTACCAGTATTACAAAAAATGTTAAAATGTTTCTTCCACTACAAGAGAACAACACGTCCACCTGGTTCCTCCTGCCTTGCTGCGCAGCACTGAAGCCTTGAACAAAATGGCGACGACTAACCCAAAGAAAAAACATAGAAAATCCAATGCTAGATCCGAGTTGAACAATTCAAAGTGACCTTGTTGGACCTTTACAGACGTAACTATAACACACTTGTGTATTTTAATATACAATTATATGTTATCATGTTTAGTGTAAACTTACTTTTTTCTGCTTAAAGTCTGAGATCTTATTGGAAAATGCATGCGCATTCTATTTACTTTTTGTCTATGGTCAATAGTCTCCACAGACAAAAGGGAAAACAGTATCTGCGACGTCACTTACTGTATATTACGTCACGATTTATGTCAGTCTACCTTCTAGTTGAACAATTCAAGTTGAACAATTCAAAGTGACCTTGTTAGTTATGTCTGTAAAGGTCTATCACACATGCGTATTTTACTATCAAATGATATGTTATCTTGTTTATGTGTAAACGTACTTTTTTCTACATAAAGTCTGAGATCTTATTGGAAAATGCATGCGCATTCTATTTACTTTTTGTCTATGGTCAATAGTCACCACAGACAAAGGGGGAAACCAGTATCTTGTCACTTACTGTATTAAGTCACGATTTATGTCAGTCTACCTGCTAGTTGAACAATTCAAGTTGACAAGATACTTACAATCACTGCATTCAAGCAAAGAACATTACAGTACACAAACGTCTTCCTTTTATTGATTGCTTGATTCACTTATTTACAGTTTCTCCTATTAATTTAACTTGATTACTTTCTCCCCCCTCCAAGTCAATCATTCACTCATGTGTTTCATTTTATTGTACATTGTTCAGTAGCTCCTTTGTGCAAATACTGCAAAAAGCATACCTGCCAGATTTCAGTCTCAACATATGGATGCATTGTCCTCTACAGCTTTCAGTAGCTATGTTTCCATAGCTTGTCCAGTGATTTTGTTTTGACATTTAGAAAGTTTGCATAAAAAATAGATGTGACAATTGCCTCAAGGGTGTGTTTTCATTTAACTAACTATCTTGTCTATAAAAACAGCTGGACGTAATGACGTCACACCAAAAAAATAATAATACAGTAATCAGATTTCCATCCAACCTTTTTATGCGAGTAAAGTTTATGTCAGATCAAAAACTAATCATGAAGACAAGGTGGGATCTTTTTGTGTGGGTAACATAAATTATGCAAGAAAAAAACAACAGTGCAAAATATTTTTGGGGTGATTCAAATGATTCCATGACCCATTTTAGGCAAATTGTGCATTAATAAATTGGCGACAGTCTGTAGGCCCCCCACCAATCTGTCTCATGTCTCAGATAGCATGCAAAAGCCAGCATGGATAGAATGTAATAATTGACTAATATTAGCCACATTCTAATAATTCCCATGTGCTAACATATCGTCACGGTCCATGCCATTGTGAAACTTGCACTCCTGTTGATCTGAAATAATTGGATGGTGAAACTTGCCAGCCAACCAGAAAAGCAAGGTGAAGCAATTCAGGCATTTTTGAAAGTCAGGACAATCCTTGTCCTGCAAAGAAACATACTTTTTTGAAGTTGAAAAATGAATTTTGCAAGCAGTACACATTTAGAATTAAATGTGGAGTGAAGCTTTATTGTTAGGCCTATGTGGTGACATCATATGCACCACACCTTCAAAATGATTCTGCAATCATCATTTGTTGGAAAAACACCGTTTCCAACACATGAATTGCACTATAACAGTGACAAATGGTGCAGACAAACTGTAAGGGCAGGGGTGGGCAAACCTTTTGGCTTAAGGGCCACATTGAGTTTTTGAAAGCAAGTGAAGGAACAATTCTCATCTCCATTGTGAGCCATATTTACAGTTATCCAATCACCTCAGCCCAAATCTGACTGATTAATTATTACCTGTATCCAAGTGCATTGCTGGATAATTCTCACTGCATAATCATCACCATAAAAAAGCATAATCCTTGCCTACCCCAGTCAAGGTTGTTCGAGGCTTAATGTGAACAATGGGTCTGGTCACCTCTCTTGGCAAGGGCATCAAAGTCTGGTGTCATCTTTGATGCAGAGATTCTCAGAACAGCTGACAAGTGGTAATTTGTTAAATTTGACCTGTGATGGGATTTGTTGTAATTCATGACTGAGAATGTTTGTTCACACACATATGTGGACCCGAATAAAACAAGCATCCTTTGGGCGTGCTTTTTAATGTTTGGAAACTTTGCTTCATTCAGTGAGCCATAGAACTGGTCTATTGTTGCTGTTTTGTACCTCTCCTTCAAAGCACTGTCATATAGTTTGCCCCGATGAGCTCCAGTTGTGTGTCTGGTGGTGCCTCTCACTGTCGAAAGACAGGGGGCATTATACAAGCTCCAGCTCAGTCTCAATCTTGGTGAAGTCTGAGAAGCGGCGGGAACACTCAGCATGCAGGTCGATCAAAGTGCTACTGTATGTCTCAGTGCCGCACTGCGATGTGGGCGCGTTCAGTGCGGCCAGTGGCGGAAAATGAGCGAGAGACTGGCTGCTCATTTGTCTGGAGAACAACATAAGTTTCGCCTTGAATGCTTTCACGTTGGAATATAGTTCATGCACAAAAACACAATTTCCCTGCAGTTTAACATTTAGATGCCCCAATATGTCCACACCGAAACCAATGTCGCCCAGACAGTCTGTGTCTTTCAACTCGGAGAAGCCGTCAGCTTTACCAACCGTATCACGGAACATACCTATTTTTACATTTTTAGCAGACGCTCTTATCCAGAGCAACTAGGGTTAAGTGCCTTACTCAAGTGCACATCGACAGATATTTCACCTAGTCGGCTCGGGGATTAGAACCAGCGCCCTTTCGGTTAATGGCACAACGCTCTTAACCACTAAGCTACCTGCCGCCCCTTGTACCTATCTCCCCTCTCAGTTCCCACACACGGTTAAATACTTTCCCCAGGCTTAGCCAGCACACATTTGAATGGTACAACAAGTCCTGGTGCTCTGCCTCTGTGTCATTGAGCAGCTGAATGAACTGATGATGGTTAAGCCCCCTTGCCCGTATAAAGTTGACAAGTTTTACAACCACTTTGACAACATTTTCCAGCTTTAACACACTTTTACATAGGGCTTCCTAATGAATAATACAGTGAAGAAATATACATTCCTCCGAGTTATGGCTTTCTTCTTTTACTTTGTCTTGTCATCTTTTTAGTAGGCCAATGTTTTTACCGATTAGATTTGGTGATCCATCTGTTGTGATGTTTGTCAGTTTGCTCCACGGTAGATTCATTTATTTTTTCCGAGCAGGCAGACACCTTGTTATATAAGTCAGAGCCCCTGGTTGTTCCCGTCATTGATTCCATCGCAAAAAGTTCCTCTGTTATTTCAAAGTTCTCATTTATGCCTCTGACAAAAATGAAATTTTTTTGCGGTATCTCTGATGTCAGTACTCTCATCCAGTGCTATATAAAAAAGTTCGAAGCCATCTGCTTTTTTCTTCAACTCTGAGATTAGCTCCTCACATATCACTTCCACAGGCCTGGTGATGGTTCTGTGTGATAAGCAAATTTTCCTCGAATTGGCTTTTACTCTCAGGACAAAGTATACCAGCAGTCTCCACCATACACTCTTTTACAAACTCCCCTTCAGCAAAAGGCTTGCTTTTCTCATTTTCGCAGCACTAATTTTTCACGTCAAATGTCTCCAAGCAATGAAGTGGCTATGATGACAGCAGATTCTGATTCTGACTGTAGGCCCAAATACAGAGCTTGCTGCCAGGCTACAGTGCCATCTATTGGAGGTTGTTTGTATATCATGGAATGAGAAATTTTTGGCAAAAAATCGTAACTCAAATATAATAATATTTAATACATTACAAAAATGTCTCACGGGCCGGATTGAAGTGCGCGGGCTCTGCCCCACCTGCCCTGAATGACGTGTCGCCACTGGCCGTTTCCATTACACATGGCACAATTATAATTTTTTGCTACATTGCTTTTGTTGAATAAACCTGGGTCAATGGAAACCTGCCTAGTGTTGAATTGAAAAGTCAGGAGCTATGTTTCCATGAACTTTTTTTTCGACATTTAGAAAGTTCTAATAGAAAAAAAGATGTGACAATTGCCTGCTAGGGTGTGTTTCCATTTAACTATCTTGTGTCAATAAAAAACAGCTGGATGTAATGACATCACTACCAAATAAAATACAGTAACCAGGTTTCCATCCAACCTTTTTATGCAAGTAAAGTAGGGGAGACCGGGGATGGCTGTAACACTTTTAGCATTTTCTTCAATTTCTCAGAGATTGTTTGAGCTACTACATTCAAAATGTGATATGAACAGCTTACATCTGTCTGCTACAAATGATTATAGGTATTATCTCTCTAAACCAAACAGACAAGTTGTGACTTTGTCTCAAATACAAGGAGTGAAATGTTACAATTTACCTCACCTCCCGGGTCAGTTGTAACAGGGCTTGGGGTGAAATGTAACAGATAGAAAAAAATGCATAAATCATGACATGCAACAAAATATTGAAAGCTTTTATTGAGAACATGAGAACAACATTGCCATTTTGAACATTTTGTGCAGCAGAAACAATAAAATAATAATGCAAATCATAAAATTGTTTTTATTTTCACGTTCCATTAACTGGCCCATCTCAACTAAACAACAACATCTGACAACTAAACAACAACATCTGGACTAAACAATTGAATGTTTGTGGTTTCCCTTCTGGAAAAAACAAATGAATTCCACACGTGATTTTATGTGAAGTTAATGTGATAACATGAAACTACACGTGACAACATGAGCACATGAGAACATGATCTTATGTTAAATAAATGTGACATGGGGATGCAAAATTTCAACATGTGATACCATGAAACTACACGTGACATTTCACATGTGAAATCATGTGTTTTTGGAACACTTCACGTGACATTTCACATGTGAAAACGTGTTTTTGGAACACTTCACATTTATGAAATTTCACATGTGAAATCATGTGCAAATGTATTTTTGGAACACTT